TTCGATTCGATTTGAAAAAATCAAATCAAATTCAAATTGCTTAAATATTTGATTTGATTTGATTTTGAGGAACCCTAGAAGCGAGCAATGTCTTTAAAACAATATTTAACATCATATTATTTGGATGAGTGTAAGCTACTAGCAGATTTCCAAAACACATGATACAAAGTGATTGGCCTAGAAATCACATGCTACTGAACATTATCGAAATTACAGGATAGTAAAAAAGATGATTCATCTGAAGCCGATATAGACAATATCATTGAATTATATGAGCATCTAAGAGAGCGGTTTTAATTGTAAGAAGAATGTAGAATGTCCTATGTATTTCTCAAACTTCTGGTCTGAGAGTCTGATACTATTTTTATTAGGAATTCGACGAAGTTGATTTCTTCTTCGGGAGTATCCTCATTCATAAGTAGCGTAATTCACTAAAAATTGTTAGTTCGGAAGGTAAACTTGTATATCAGAGATAAAGTGAATTGTAATAGGAAAAGAACCTATTTAATCTATATCTACCCATCTATTAGATCACCAATGTAAATAGATAAAAAATCTTGAATTGTTTAAAATAAAATTGGAAAATAGATCGCCATTACATACTGAAAAAGGACAGATTCCATGTTGTAAAGAGATGACCTAATAATAAATTTAAATCATTAATTCAAATTGTCCTCATTTATTGATAATCACTTTTTTTTTTGGTTACTCCATTAAAAGAACCAACCGGTTGATATCTGGTTTAAATAAAAAAAGAAAATCAAATAAAAATGTGAAATACAGGATTGATAAGGTTCACACGGGTGTTTATTGACTTGATTAAATTGTGAAACACAATATTTATACATTTGTTGATTCTATTTCATCTAGGAATAAAAATTCTAATTCTATCATAATTAAATTTCCGACATAATTAATTTCCGTCAAATTGTTCATATAAAATATAAATACATTATTATAAACTAATAGCATAACTACTAAATATATCACTCCCAACATTATAATTAGATTGTGGAAAGATTTTGTCGTAATCTTGTGCTTCATTTATATTGGAAAAGTCACCATCGATAGTAGCGGTAGAATTCGGCATAATAACAGGAACGTGTTGCTGTTGTTGAAGTGGTTGTTGTGGTGGATTATTTACGATAGTAGCGGTAGAAGTCGACATAATAACAGGAACGTGTTGCTGTTGCTGAAGTGGTTGTTGTGGTGGATTATTTACGATCGCAGGATTAGCAAAACGTTGTCTGTGTAGTGTTTGTGTTTGCGTTTGTGGGTTTAGTCCGATTCGATTTCGTTGCGGTATAACGCAGGTACGAGGACGAAGATGAGGAAAGGTCAACCGAGTAGTTGATGAACGGGGGTTTCTAATACGAAGTGTTGAAGTTGCGCTTGAATTTAAGCCTGTCCTAGAACAATTAGAATTTGCATTTGAAGTTGAAGCTAAACGAGTTCTGGTACGAAGAGTTGAATATGTACTTGAATTTGAACCTAAACGAACGGGTTCACCAGTACAAGGAATTGTTGGATTTGCATTTGAATTTGAACAGGTCGTTGTATCATTAATTACGGTCATATTTGAAGTAATTCTTATAATATAACGTTAATATATCAATATATAAATATATATTTTTTTTCTTTTTGAAAAGCAACAATAAAAAGATATCCAGATATCCTTGATTTTTTTAACCTTTTTATAATTTTTTTTAGAGTAGGCTTCATAATTATACATTACAATTTATTTTATATTAATTTTAAATGTATTTATTTAATTGTACTACTACATACATAATTCTCCTCATTTAAAAAAAAATTTAAATTAGATATATACTGTACTACACTTAGATATAAATTTTTAAAATAAGACCTACATCACACCTTTTTTTTTAAAAAAAAAACTCCCGATTTCCAGGCTTGAATGCAAGGTAGGCAGACATAAGCTCTTTTTCCTTTTTTCCCGCACTACTTTTCAAAATTTTCATTTCATCTTTCTGTTCCCTATGGTGAAGAGAAATTCGCCATTTACTTGCTCAATTTTTTTTTTCCATTTGAATATGGAATAACGTCTTCACGTTTCCCAACTTACTCAACCAACGGTTTTGTGAAACCTTTGTCATAACGCCAAAACGCTTTACTAGAAGGAAGGCATCACATGGATTAAAGTCATGATATAAACGGAAATGTTTCAAATTTTGCGAAGTTAAGAATTAGTAGGTTATTCGGGATCGTTGTTGATTAGATAATGATTTAGATTTTTAAATTTTGTCATCAGCTCCGGAACGAATGGTATTTTGAAAATTATATTCATGTGATGTGACGTTTAGAACCAATTCTTAATAATTCAACTCATGAAGGGAATAATTACATGTTACCATGACCAAATTACATTAAATAAATTGAAATGTAATTTTTTTCATTTTTTATTATATTCAATTATATTATTATAAAGAATTATATAAATAAAAAAATATTTTTTTGACGCGATCCTTTTTTATTTTATCTTTGATTCTCATCACTCGGACAAAAGAAAACTTTTCCTATTTCCCGAAGTTACACGAAAATTAATCAATTTCTTTGGGGTTTTAATCTCAACATTTATATGATTGTACTTACAAAAATTAATTCACAACCAAGTAAATTGTCTCATCGATTATTGCTAGCATTTTATCATGAAAGGAGTGTGCCTTCAACGTTTTAAAGTAAGGAATAAATAACCAATAGTTTCATATAAAAAAAAAAATATCTCAATGTCAATGAATGACAAGTGAAAACTTCCTAATAAAATATATATATAAAATAAAATTTTAGAACAAAGAATATTCGGAAACAAAGATTGATTTCCAATTTGTATGTTAATCTTGATTTTTTTGAAATGCATACAATTAATAAAACATTACCTGGTAGTAAAATCATCATATCATACGTTCGGATTTTTTTCGAATGAAGGTGTGCATCATAAATACCAGGTATAGATTTCTTTTTTATGTAGTGTGAGATAAAATGATTCATAAACAATGTAACACCATTTGAATGATACGTAAAGAATTTCTTTACTATAGATTTCCTAATATGATTGACGAAGTAAGCATGTGGTTACAATGTGAAATTATGATCATTTTGATTGGAGAGATCTATTTGTTACGGCATTGGGACCTTTTTTTTTTTTTTTTTTTTTAATGAAATATTCATGAGATGTAAGGTTGAGTAAATGCTTTTGTGAAAGAATTAGAAATGAGGCCCGTCCATGCAAATATTTTCTGGTAAATCTAAATCTTTTATTTTTTATTTTCGTTAAGATTATAGATACAATTAATTTAGATGTCGAAAAAGGGACATGAGGATCATTGGATCAATCTTAAACCTATTAAATTAAAATTATTTAAATAAAGGAATTCTGTTATAATTTGCATCTACAAAAAAACCATGTCGTGCTATGACCAGCACATTTATAGAAAAATAAAAACTCTTTAAGGAAAAAAAAAAAAGAATTGATCCACAGCAGGAAATTTTTGAAGAATATTCTTTTTAAATTTTTGCTTTTCATAGGTCACTATTTTTTAAGATATTCATGGTCCAAATTAGGAAAATAAATATTTGCTATTAATTAACCAAAAGCAAAAAAAATCGCACTAAAGAAACCTTGATATTTCGAGTGAGTAATTCAATTTAATTCGTAGACTCAAACCATTGTCAAAAAATGTAAAAAGTCGATCGGGCTTAGTCTTAAAAAAAAAAAAAGTATTGGTTTAATTTCATATAAACACAAACGGCTTTTTAAAAAATTTCGTATTATTACTATTTGAAAACATATTCAATTAAAGGAGTCTCTCAAAACGTTCCCACATGTACTCTTTTTTTTAAAAAATCAAAAAACATTGATCCTTTTGGTAAACATCATCAATCTTGTAGATTTTAGTATATGGAGATTTGCTCGAAAAATGGGGTTCTATTATTTAATAAATTTTAATTATTATTATATTTTAATAATATTAGATTAAAAATTAAAAATTAAATTTTAAACAAAAAAAAAACACTCAGAACCCCATTTTCCTAGCAAACCTCCCATATGTGTTAAATACATGCAATACATGCATGATAATGTAATTAATTTTGATGTATTATTTCAAACGAACAATTTATTAACACATTTGGCCACAAGCGTAAACATATCAATCTTAATATCATAAATAATATAACAAATAATAATAATACTATATAAAAAATTTTATATGAAATTGCTCAAAAGTTGCCAAACATATCATTTCCGCCAAAGTCATAAGAATTTTTGGGGAAAATATCATCAAATTTTTGTGCATTGATTAAATCGGGTAAATCACAAACGGTAGGAACGATTGCCGTTTGCTGTTGTTGAGAAGGAGGTTGCATCAAGTTACTTCCAATAGCAGAAACTCTTTGAGAAAGGTTTAAAGGTGCGATTCAATTGATACGAACGTTGTCTAATCCTAACTTGTCTTAGGCATACGGCAGGCATGTAAGGACGAATGCTGATTTGATTAGTTGAAACTTGTCGTTGCCGTATTTGTTGATAAACCCTGTCACTTTGAGAAGTTCTTCGATTGTGCCCCTGCGGAATATTTTGAATGATAGGAATCGGAGATTGTAACAATGGATTATTAATATCATGTAAATGTTTAGGGATGGAATCGTTTTCATCATTATCATTAGATTCGGATCCGGATCCAGATGCGGACCGATTATTAATATGCTCTTGGAAAGACTTTTATCATCCATGTTGTAAGATATATGTGACACAAGAAAGGTGTCTTTAAATTAATCAATCACTTTATTGGTATACTTTGTACTTAATTATTTATCGTTAATTAATTTTATATTTTTATTGGTTTTTTTTTTCTTTTATATTTTTTTAAAAAAAAAGTTTTGTTGGATTCTGATCAATTTTATTTATACATTTTTTTTTTTTTTTTTTTTGCGTGATTAAATTTGCAGAAAACCCAAAGGTTCACCAAGGTTTAAACTATTTTCCGATGACATGATACCATGTGAATTTGACACATAGGAAAGAATGTACATCGTTTATGAATGTGTTTCTCCACAAATTTAATTGCTAATAAAAGCAATATCTAAAAACGAAAATTCTTTCACACGTGTTTTGAAATGCACATCAAGGTGTTCTTTCAATTAAAATCGGTCTGATCAATTGTGAAAATTTCAAGACCCCATAAGATCTATATCTTTATGTATATAGATAGCTCTTTCCCACCAATCAGCGACATATTTGGCCGATTTCATGTCCTGTCGTATACGTCAAGAAATTTACCTAATTTAATGCGGCCTTAATGCGTCAGGCATGCAAATCTGGGAAACCAGAGATTTATTGACCCATGAGCAACGAACCCCCCCCCCCCCCACGGCATCTTTGACGGATGTGGTAAGTATTTTGTGTTTTCACAAGTAAATCATTTTAAGGTTTTCTTTCTTTTAGATGGGTGGTTGACTAGATGCGTGTCTCTTTTTTTTATTTATCGATTTTTAGATGAACTTTTTTTCCGAAAGAATAAAGTAAAAAAAAGTGAGAATATTATATATTATAATATATTTTTTTTATATATCATATTTAATATACAGTACATACATATTAGGAAAGAAAAATAAAGTAATTTGATTATCTATATTAAAAATTTTATTTATAATATAAATAAAGGTGAACCCATTTTCTTTTTTATTATAAAAAAAATTTTTTTTTATCATTATAACCATACCATACTATACTGCTGTGCGATAATGGACGATTGGTCCTTTTGAATTCCTCTGCGTCACAGTATACAATTAGTATCACTAACACACAATCGACGATAAAATTGCTATTTCAAAACTTTCCGCGCTCAGTTTAATTCTTACTTGAATGTGATAATTTTATAAGATTATCTTTGCAGGTAAAAGCGGTAATGGCAAAAGCTTGAATCCGAGAGAAAATGCGTTGACTCGAAAGGATTGTGTTGCTTTATTCAAGCTACGTCCACATTTGTTGAATTTCACAAATACGAGTCCGCGTAGGTACCGTGAAAATTTTTCTAAAAATTTTCCGAGCGCAAAAATGCGATTATCTTATTATCAAATATGACCTTGGTGGAACTAAAAAACGACAAAAAAAAGGCAGCAAAATGGGTCCGTTCTGTCTTTCTTCACAATTGCTACTAGGTTATTTATAGTGTGAAAGGTGTGATTATCAATATTTCAATGATTTCTCTGACTTGATGAATTCCAACAGGCAAAAGGTTGGTTTCATGATGCTACTTGATGATCAAAAGGCCGCGCGATCGCCATGGCTTCATAAAGAACTCACTTATGAAAAGAGTGACCGATGCGCAAACAAATTTAGGAAAAACGTGGAACACCTCAAAATCTTGAAAAATGGATTTTATAGTCAGCTGTGCGGAATGGATTAGATTAACACTGATAATGATATTAAGGTTGCAAAATAAAAACGCTTGCAAAAAATCTCTTTGAAGTGAGGGCTTTATTAAGGATGAAGATATCGAAATGAAATAACGGGTATAATATATTTCGACCAATAAAAAATTGCTCATGTGATTAGAATTTGGAATTAATCATAAAAAAATCATAATATACTAATTTCATTTAATTTCACGAGACGGAAATTAAGTGTCTCCCTATTTAAATTAGCGCGTAGGTTTAAGATTCAATTCCTCTGAGCTTTAGAAATGGTCTCAATGTTCCAAAATTGTTATTGAAGCAATACGTAATAGTTGTTATTTATTTTTATAAACATGATCATTGGTGCCACCACCAGAATTCTGGGAATTTGCTGAATAAAACTCCGTTCCAGAATTAACTACTTCAGGATTGACAGCAGGAGAAAGATGATCTTGTGATGGTGAGAATGGATATGAATTTCCAGAATTCATATCGAATGCATAATCGGGTGATTGAGAAACTGATTGGTTGGAGTTTTGTTCTGCCATAAACTGATTGTGTGTCCGTTGCGATTGATTTTGCTCAACATTAAAATCTGGCGGTATTGATGATGACTGATTTCGTCCATCCACAGATTTGTTCTGTTCAGGTATGGAATTGGATGGTAACGATGATGACTGACTTTGTTGATTCACAATAAATTCAGGAGGGGAAAATTGATTCTGTCCTGGTGGTGACTGATTTCGTCCATCCACGTATTCCGGTTGATTCTGTTCGGGCATGGAATTGGATGATGGCTGAATTGGTCTATTCATAATAACTTCAGGAGGGGAAAATTGATTCTGTCCCGATGACAGATTTCTTCCATTCACGTATTCCGGTTGATTTGACTGACTTTGTCTATTCATAATAAATTCAGGAGGGGAAATTTGATTCTGTCCTGATGACAGATTTCGTCCATTCACGTATTCCGGTTGATTTGACTGACTTTGTCTATTCATAATAAATTCAGGAGAGGAAATTTGATTCTGTCCTGATGATTGATTTCGTCCATTCACGTATTCCGGTTGATTCTGTTCGAGCATGGAATTGGATGATGACTGAATTGGTCTATTCATAATAACTTCAGGAGGGGGAAATTGATTCTGTCCTGATGGCTGATTTCGTCCATTCACGTATTCCGGTTGATTTGACTGAATTTGTCTATTCATAATTAACTCAGAAGGAGGTGGTTGATTTTGTCCAAGTGATGACTGACTTTGTCCAACCATAACTTCAGTTTGATTCAGTCCGGGCATGGATTGTAATGTGTGATTTGGTCCATTCATAAATTCAGGAGGGTATTGATTTTGCACAGGAATTAAATCAGTATGATTGAACGAATAAATAGGCGCGGTTTGTAATATTTGATTTTGTATAGGTTGAAATTGTTGACTTTGAACTTCAATACATTGTACCAGTTGGTCACTTTCATTTTGGTGAGAGTGAAGTTGTTGTTTCAACTGGGTTAATCTGTCTTGTTGAAGTTTTATCTCCTGGTTTGTTTTAAATATTTTCACGGAAGTGGACATTAACTTATGAAGTTTATCACGAATATAATTATTATTGTTATTGTTCGGATACATCGGATACATCTTCTTTGATTTGTTAAAAAAAATAATGATAAGAAAAAAAAATGGTTTACAAAATAAAATAAAAATAAATTAAACAAAAATACGAATGGAAAAAACAAAAGAGAAAAAAGGTGGAGGTTTAATGAAATTATTTATTTTTTCTTTCCGAGGTATTAGCATTTATATACTTGATAACAAAAAAAGGGGGGATGTTAAGTATACACGCACGAAATTCTTACCAATTAAATCAAATTTCCATTTTATTACATATTTGGTTTATTGTGATAATATATTTTTTTTTTAAAAAAAAAAAACTTAAAAACAGGTTTCACTTTAAAACTTTACTTTTTAATTTTACTTTATTAATTTTAATTTTCTAAATTTTTATATTTATACAGTTATATAATTTATACTATAATATATATTATCATCAATTAGTTTAATATTTTTAATTTAACGTAATGTAAACCAATAGAAATAATACAATGAATGCTAACAAACATTTTTTATATAATTATTACTATTATTATTATTATTAAATAATTTAAATTATCTAAATTAATTTACAAAATGATGCTATCCTAAAACTCAAATTCCTGCTTAAAAGCGCTCAAATCTTTGATATCGCATTTATTTTCTAAATCAGGTCTATTTAAAAATCCACAACAAACTTTAAGTGTTGCCCAGATATTTGAACTCATCACGCCTCTAGTAACGCTATGAAATGAACTATCATTGTTTAATTCATCGCTTGTGATCGCGTTGGCTTCACCAGTCTGTAATGCAAGGGCTGCGAGTAAATGTTCGGCCGCTTCTCGATATTCTTTCATATTAATAAAAGACATGGCGAGATTATATCGAGCACGAACGTACAATGGATTTATTTCAAGGGCATTAAAATAAGCATTCACGGCTTTTTCGGATTCAAGAGCATTTGCTAACGTTGCTCCAAGTTTATTCCAAAGAAGATAATCCTAAATAAAGAAAATAATGCTTTTAACTAGCTTATTCTTAAAAGGTGAATAGTGTATTAAAGGTGACTTACATTAGGCCTCAAAGAGAGTGCTGTTTGAAAACAGTCCACTGCCTTATTGTATTCTTCGGATACATTGTATAAAATGCCCAGACCAACTTGAACGTCTGGATCAAGATTCTCTCCGGGATTTAAAAGAGCCGCTTGTATAAATAAGTCCGTGAAAAATTTGTGGTCAACTAAGTTGCCGTTAGCACGTTGCTGCTCTAACAATTGTTTATATTTAGGACTATGATCAAACCAAGATTCCAATGCGTTATAAACAAAATCACGTCGGTACTCATTTGTGTATGAAACTGCTAAAGACATCCACGCGTCCAAAATTTGAGGATTCAAAGTAACAGCCTTACGTAATGCCGCTATTGCGTTCGGTTCCTGCTCATTTTCTTGTTGCTTAGTACCAAGCTGATACCATGCCTGTGAGTCATTTGGATCAAGTTGAACCTTTGCTTCTAAAATTAATATCGAGTCCGTTAGAATTTGCCCTTTTGTCGTTGAAATTTCTGATAAAAGATTTGGCGTAGTGAGATAAGGATTAATTGGTTGAAATTTATAATCGTCATAAAAAGGGGAATTGAGTGAATATCCCATATTTGTAGGACTATATTTTTCCCAATCACTCTGTAATTCTTCCATAGTTTGATCTATAGAATCTTCTTTATAATCCTTATAATCTTTAATCCATTCATCTAACGCTGGAGTTGCGTTGGGATTTTCTTTATTTATCCGATAATGAGCTTTCTGAAATTCTGCAGCCCAACCAGAGTCGAATTCATTAGATGCTGCTCTTAAAGTTGAACCTTCCCCATTATTTGGAATATCTGAAGTGGTAGCATTGTAAAATTCTTGTGCCCAATTTGAATGTGGACCTGTTTGTATATTGTTGAATTCTGATGCCCAATTATTATTGTTGATGTTATGTTGTTGCGTCTCAAATTCAGAAGCCCAATTCGCATTAGGTATTGGAACCTTTTGTTCTACAACTTTATTTCCTTCAATAGAAAGTTCTTTATTGCTCAATTTTTTCATAAAATTCATGAATGAAGAATTTTTAAATTTCGGATTTGTCTCTCCTTCAACAGAAGCTATTAATTTACTAGCTATTTCAGACAATTCAGTTTTTGTATAATCTCCACTTCCAATCCCTTCCTGTTGTTTAAATTCATTCACCCATGACTGCTCTTGAGCCTCAAACTCTGATTCCCAATTCGCGCCTAAACCAAATAATCATGATAAGTATAGGAAACAACAACATAAACTTTACAAAAGCAAGTTTTTTGAAAATTACTCTTTTTTGCGTCCTCAAATGCTTGTTCAAAGGCAGCTATTTCTTCTGGACGTATTTCAATATCGCTTTTTGGCAATTGGTTGAACTGTGAAAATTCGGTTGCCCATTTGTCTGAAATGTTGGTTTGGTTAATCGCTATGATTTCAACCTCCCAAGCCCAAGCCTAAGATCGCTTACCTTGATTTTGGGCTTTCTTATAAATCATTTCAAAATTTTCAAATTCCGAACGCGCGTGGCCAGGCATTATGTGATGATGAGTCGATTCAGATTGATTTAAAAAACTTTCTGCCCAATCTCCATTTCTCTGTGATTCATGTACAATCGTTTCAAGTCCTCTGCTCATTTGATCAAAGTTATAGATGTTTGGTGGTATAGATTCTTGTCCTGGACGTTGGAAAAATTTTTGCGCATACTAAAAAAAGATTTTTATTTTTAATCTTTATTTAGTTACTTGAGTTAAGCCGCACAAAGATGACTTACCTCATCTTGCTGTTTAATATTCTTTTGAGTTCTAAATGCCTGATTAATTCGAAAAATATTCTTTTACAATTATATAAGTGTTCGCGATTAAAAAAAAAGGGTTAAAAGGCAATTAACGTACTCCTTTTGAAGATCCTTCATCGTAACGTTCTGCTGTAAATTTATCCTAAAGATCAAAACCAAATACTTAATGGGAAGAACTTTTTAAAGTAAGTACAGGTATAGATTGAATTACCTGCTGCGACGATCTATCATGCGTAGTGTGCTTAATAAGGCCTGTCATGGAGTTTGTAGGTCCACAACTTGCATCGTCAGCAAACCACTGTGGAATGGACATTGTCGATGATGTATTGTATTGAAAAAAAGGTATGACTTTAATTGTGCGAATTTTTGATAATGTCAAAAAAAATTTTTTTTTCGGATTTCAACAAAAAATCGATAATCTTAATGAATTCGGATCATGTGACTTTAAATTCGTCATCGCGTTTAGATGTTTAGATATCCTACGCGTTAATATATTTTAAAGGTTTTCAAATTTGAAAATGGCCGATAACTTTGAAAAACTCAAAAATGATAAAGTGCTTCAAGTCATGGCCAGTGAAGTTCAAGCAATTTGTAGTGAAAAAAGTTTTGAAGAAATTCTTGTAGATCTTCACAAAACGCGAAATGTGGAAGTCACGATCAATCGTATTTTTGATGGGAAGGTATGGATTTATATTGAGCCTTTCTTAAATTCACCTTGAAATTATTTAAAATTTTTATTTTTATGTTGACTCATTAAAGTTTCTTGAAGGGACGCGTTTTGATACTTTGAAAAGGTCAACATTTTCATTTCCTATTCATTTATTAGATGAGAAAGATGCTGCATCATGCAAACATAAGGTCCACGTGTCAAATCAAGAAAATTTAATTATTATTGATGATATAGTTCATCAGAGATGCAGTAATAAGGATAACATAAACCAAAAACTGAATGAAGAAATCAACAGGGTTAAGGAAGCCGAAAAATTGGAAAGAGTATATATAATATAAATGTCTCCTAATAAGAATATAAAATTTAACATAAAGTTAAAACTTGATTAATTTATTTTAGAAAACTCAAAAAGAACAACAGAGATTAGAACGTAAAAAACAAAAGGAGGAACGCGAGGTTGAAAAACAAAGACTCAAGCAAATTCAGGAAGTTAACAAGATTAAGTATGATAAATTCGAATTGTGTCGAGAGTTGATACTTGACGTTTCAAATAATTTATCAGAAAAAAATCTTGTTGACTATTTTCGGGACAATCCAAAGTATTCATTATTAACTATCAACATCTTTCAACACGATTTTCCTAATATTATTAAATGGCGGAGAAAATTTACTGTGGAATGGGATGATGAACTTTACGCTTTCATGCCAATTCCAGAAAAGATTCAAGAAGAGTCATTTTTATTGATTTATTTTGAGATTTCAGAATTCACCAAGCTTATTAAAGAGGATATCTTATCCAATAATATCAATAAAATTCAAGAAACTTTTATTAGCAAGAGACTAATTATATTAATTGAAGGTTATGAAAGTTATTGTCGCAGGAGAAAAACACAAGTCAATCGAAATTTCACCAATGCTGTTCGGTCAGGTATAGAACACAACGTCGAAGATACGGACATTACAACTACTACTACAAAAAGGAAGAAAAAAGATCAAAATCAAGAACAAGAACCTGATCTTGAAAAATTGGAAGAAGAGTTGTTGTGGTTACAAGTTATTGCAAAATGTTTAATTGTTCACACGAAAAATATTCAGGATACAGCAGAAATGATAGGCATTCTCTCGGCTGATATTGCAACTATACCATACAAGTAAGTCTCGCCAGCTATTGTTCTTTTCAACCTTACTTTTACATTAAAAAGAAAATTTCCCTCTCCTTAGAAATCGTAATTGCGATTTGAACTTTTGGGCTGAAGGTCAAGTACGATCTGGAACCGATTCTAGCAACACTTGGTTACGCATGTTACAAGAGATTCAATTTGTGACCGAGCCTGTGGCTAGAGGGATCATAAATGCATATCCGACTGTCAAATCGTTATACAACGCATATCAGAGATGTCTCACTAGAGAAGAAGCAGAAAATCTTTTGACATCTGTTGAGGTAAAGTTTTCAAATATATATAATATACATTTATATTCATTCATGTAAAAAAAAAAAAGTAGGGTTAAATGCTTTAATTGTATGCATAGATTCCCAACATTGGTTTTGCACAACATCGATATCTTAATAGACCTTTGTCGAAGAGAATATATGAAATATTTATGGGAACCAATCCGGATTATATAATTTCTTAAATATATGTTGTTGGAATGAATATACATATAATATTTTGAAATTATTTTCAAGATTTTGAAACCTTTTTTAACTAAAATTTGGTACTTCATTATTTAACCTTCCCAATTTAGCGTTATTGAGAAATTTTTAATATCCTAAACTATTTTAGTTAGTGCAATTGCTTTCTAATATATAAAAAAAAAATTTATCAGTTCTACAATTTTATGTACGTTACATATATATATTGATATATATAAAATAAAAAATATATTTATTAGAAAGTATAGTAAATATATTAGAATGAAAAGAACAGTAACGTTGATCAATGATGATTTTATAGGAAATCTTTCAATGAAAGAAAGAATTGAAAATATGATCTTCGGTTTTTTAATCTATATTAACTTTAAACTATTTGAGAATTTTTTTATACATCTATTTTAAAATTGCAATAATTTATTTTAGTGAAGGACTATATATTTCTGTATTTCTATGCCCTGCTCAAAAATTGAGTTGATACATGATTGGTTTCTGGCGGACTTAACAACGGTTTCCGAAAACGTTCCCTAGTAAAGGAACATAAAAATTACGGATTTTTTATTTCAAAGTCCGAAAATTTTGCCAATAACCGGAAACTGGAAATTTATTATTATAGGCAGGAATTTTTTTTTATGGTTATAATGGATAATTAACCGGAATATGCTAAACCCTGGTTTGCGCGAATTTCGGTTTGGTGATTGGCTACTTATTCAAGACCAAATTAGTCACCTTATGTAACAACTTAAAAAACTTTTTAAAGTCCCAACCAAACCCTCTATTTTTTATTCTGTCCGAAATTTTTTTACATTCCCTTTCTGTATTGTATTTGTATTTTGTTGTATTTTATATTTCTATTTTATATTTCTTTTGAAAAGAAAAAAAAATGGATCCAAATCTTCAACATACAATACAACACTTATCTCGAGAAGTTAAAAGACTCCGTCTCAGTTATATTTCTAATAACTATTGCTAAAGAATCGTCACCATAATTATTCTCAAGAGTTGGAAAATTTAATAGTTGTCAACCAAAGTTCCAGTGAACTAGAACGAATTTTTAATTTCATTGAACAACATCAAGAACTTATGAGTTCTAACTTCCAAACCGCACACGAGAAACAAAGTTCCCAAAGTGTCGCATTCTTAAAGCAACTTGATGCATTATCGGACCAACTACAAGTTTTAGTAGCGTCTCTTTCCGTTGTCGATCAAACGGATGAGCAAGGACCAAATTCTCAACAACCATCAAATTCACAACAACCCAACTTCGATGTTATTTCTGGAGACCCGGATCCATTCTTTACTGCGCAATCACCTGCTGCTAATCCTGCACAACCCATCAATTCGAATTCGGATCAATTTAACTCTGGAATTCCACCTGAGAACGATTTTGGTTACTTTAATATGCATAATTAACCTCTCAAACGACAAAATTCAACATATTAGGCATCAACCGTTCGGGGATAGTCATACTTTAATTCCCCTCCTTCACTTTAAGTACACCATGCATATACTGTTAAAAGTTATGAACAATACCATGTTACTTGAATTCAACCGATAGGGTTTCCCATAACTTTAATTCCCTCCTTCACTTTTAGTCAACATGCATATAATATATGCTATCATTAGAAAAAAGCATATATCATGTTTACTTGAATTCAACCATCAGGGGAAAATCAATATATTCCCACCCGTCACTTTTTAGTCCAACATGCATATAGTGAACATTGTTCAGATGCCTGAAATTTTTTTCTTTCCCATATTTTTTTTACATTGTATTATTATATATTATTTTTGTTTGTTTCTTTTTTAATTCATTCTTCAATTTTTTATTTTACTCGTGGTTACAAAACAAATACAAAGACGTGTTAAATGACCTCAAATTTGATGTACTTTTTATTTGGTTTTTTTTAAGTTTGATCATGTGATAACATCATCAAAAAAAAAGTCAAAAAAAATGAGATTTTTTTTTTATAGTTCTCAATAAAAAAAAATGCAACAAAACAATCAATTAAAATATGGTTTAAATTTAACCAAAAAGAAATCTTTATCACAAAAGAAACCCGAAAGATCGTTAAAAAGATCAATATTTAGTGACGACGACGACGTTGACAATGTTACCGAACAGCCTTCTAAAAAGATACTTTCTTCCTCAACGAAGAATGTCAATAAAACTTTAATAAAGAAAGATAGCTCTCTAAGTAAATCGGTACAAGAACAGTATAAAGCAGCTTTAGAAGAAGATCCCACAGTATTTTCTTATGATGAAGTTTATGATGATATGAAAGATGCCGAAAGGAAGGCAATACGAGATTTTAAAGGTATTGAAAGTAGCTCCTCTAAAAAGGTAACCATCAAATTATTTTAAGTTGAGGACTTGAAGAAGGAAAATGATATTAATGCAACACGTAATGCGATTTATAGCCAAAATATGTAAATGATCTATTAAAAGCTGCAGAAATACGTAAAAGAGATTATATTCGAGCACAAGAACGTAAAATACAAAAAGAACGAGAAGAGGAAGGAGAGGAATTCATTGATAAAGAAACATTTGTCACTTTAGCGTATGTAATAACATAGTATAATTTTTGTGATTTAAAAAATTTTGAATTATATCTTAATAATTTCATAACTATATAGATATAAAACACAACAAGAAGAATTAAGAAAAGCTGAAGAAGAGGAGAAAAAACGAGGCAAGTATATTATATATACGGTCATTCACATTATCAAGAATTAGAAATGCTTAATTTTTTTTCTTGGATAAACAATTAAAGAAGAAGCAAATGGTCCAAAAGATATGTCAAAATTTTATCGTAATTTATTGGATCAAACTAGTACAGCGAAAACAGCGGCAATAGAAGCAAGTAGATTAGCATTATCATCTAATAAAAAAAGAACATTATCCGAAGAACAAGATATCAATAAACCACAAAAAACAGATAAAGAGCTTGCAGAGGAAGCTCGCGCATCTGGTAAAATTGTAATATTAAATGACGATGATCAAATCGTAGATAAGCGACAATTATTATCTGCGGGGTTAAATATAACCAAAAAGAAGAAGACTGATGGTTCTTCAAAATGGTCTTCAAAAGATTATTATGATTCAAAAGATTATAGATCTCACGATAATAGAAGAGGTGGTGATAAATCAATGTATGAAGAAATGCGTAGACGTGAAAAACAAAGTCATGAATTGGAAATACAGATATTAGAAGCTAAAAGAAAGGAAGAGGAGGAGGAGAGAAAGAAAAATGAAGAATTAGCAAAGAAATTGACCAGAAAAAAGGATGAACAAGAAATTTCTGATGCTAAAGCAAGATATTTAGCAAGACAAAAAGAAAAATTTGAATTAAAAGTTAAAGATGAATAAGATTATTTTAGGATTATTGTTATTATTTTATTTTTTTAGACTTTTTTTTTTATTCATAGTTTAATTATCGTTAATTATAGTGATCAATAAAATTGTAAAATGAATAGTGGCATTTCATTAGTTATTATTAAAAGCAAAGAAATTCTTTCTCTATTTTACTGATAAGAATTCTAATTCAACAAATTTTTGGATGTTTGAAAATTAGCGTGAAATTTTTATACTTGGGAGAAAAGTTATTTGAAAACAAAAAAAAATTTCATTTTTTGTAATGGAGAATTATTCATTATTATTTGATCAAAAAAAACCCCCGTTATGATAACCTCGTAAAAACCGTCTAAATCCGGTTTCGTTCTTCCATCAAACAAGTTTAATACAACAATAACAATGTACTCTAAATCTCAAAAATTGCATATTTCTATATATGGGTACTTGATAAATTTTACTTTTTATGAAAAATTCTTTAAATATATTGTAGTATGATTTATTACATTAATTTTATTATATAGAATAACGAAGAAAGTTAAAAACGTAGAGACAAGCAAATCTTTATCACTAACTACTCGGTATCTTCAATATAGGTTGTCTCCTCTTAAAACAAAAAAATGAACCCAACACTAACCACGCGAAAAGACTTATTCCTAGGGAGACAGCAAGTCCCAAAATTGTATGCGAATCATTGGGATTATTGACAAATACCGTTTCCATTGAAATGGGAGAAGTTGGAGAGACAGTATTAACAACAGTATTATATTTGTCATAATTAATACCAAAACAATCGATATAACTAAGACTAGAGGAGTAAGTCGATGATAAATTAGTAAGAGGATTGTCCGAACATTTTAATACTTCTAGACTTCCGCTCAATCCCCGTAGGTCTAAAGTAAGCGAATTATCACTGACGTCAAAGTGACTAAGACGAGGAACTGATACCATCAAAATATACTATGAGAAATGTTTAAACCACCAGTGATTTTATTAAATGAGAGATTCCAATTTCGCAGATTAGTGAATGTTTCCCTAAATCCCGGAGCATCAAAGGAACCTTCTAAATTTTGATTACTAATATCTAAATTAGTGATTTCCTCTCTCCTTTTACCATAATTTTCCTTGTCTTCCACCCTTTGACATACGCTTTCTGCGGGATAATTTTGATTAATCCATTCAACTGCCTTTACCATGTTATGAATAACGTTTTTATTTATAAATTAAAATGGGTAAATGATTACTATGTTAAAAGACAATATGTCAAATGGAAAAGAAATTAAAATGATAAGAAAACTTGTTCAACCCAATACGAATTTAGTACAACATCTCGTGTGCCCACAATTCGGTTAAGATGGTGACGCAAACAGCATTTTTTTTCTTGCTTAAAATGTCTTCTTTGAATGATGCAAAAAGACGAGCAGCATATAAAGCAGTGGACGAAAATATTACAAGCGAGAGTAAAATTATCGGAATAGGTTCAGGAAGCACTGTGGTATACGTAATAGAAAGAATATTACAACGTGGTAATTTGGCAAATAAAGAATGTATATTTGTACCGACTAGCTTTCAAAGTAGACTGTTAATTATTGAAGGTGGTTTAAATTTGGGAGATATTGATCAGTAAATTATCGTGATTTTTCTTTTATTTTTTTTAATAAAAAAAGATTTTTAATAATGATTCTTTTGTAGGTATTCGGAAATTGATGTGACAATTGACGGAGCCGATGAGGTAATTGAATCATTTAAGATATTTATTTATTTATGTTGTTATTATTAAACACATGAACTCTTGCTAATTATAGGTTGATGAGAATTTGAATGCGATCAAAGGAGGAGGCGCATGTCATCTTCGAGAAAAAGTAGTAGCAGAAGCGGCGAAAAAATTTGTAATTGTAGCAGATTATTCTAAGAAATCTAGTACCCTCGGGGAAAAAGTAAATAATATATATATTTTTTTTTCTTATTTAAACCATTTTCAATTTATTTATATTCTTTTAAAAGATTTCTTTTCTCCCTTTCGTTTTGGATTTTCTAGTGGAAACAAGGAGTGCCAATTGAGGTTATCCCATTCGCTTATGCGCTAGTGATACCATCATTAAAAAGATTGGGATGTGAAAATCCTGTGTTGCGTATGGCAAAATCAAAGGCAGGACCTGTTATAAGTGATAACGGGAACCTTATTGTTGATGCTGATTTCGGATTAATTAAAAAACCCAAAGAATTATTGGAAAAGATCAAATTATTGACTGGTGTAGTTGAAGTGGGATTATTTGTTAATATGACTAGAATGGTTTATTTTGGTAATGAAGATGGAAGTATTGATATTAAGAAAATTTAAATATAATATATAATATACATATATTTATTTATTAATTTATTTGAAGTGGTGATAAGAAAGAAGGGAAACAATATTTATTTAAATAAAATGAGAAATGCGATTAATATTTCTCCTTTACATGCTCATTCCATTGGTATTATCGTGACCTATGTCGTCAACGCTCCAAATTTTAACAGCTTTATCGAAACCGCAAGAAACTAATACATTTCTATTTTGATCAAACCATAAGCCTCTAACTATATCCTTATGACCTTCCAATTTGTGAATAATAGATTTAGTGGCAACATTAAAAATTCTGATAATGGAATCTACACCAAAAGTGAAGAAATATTTTCCATTGGGATGCCAACAATGTCTAGGATTTGTTAATTTCCTATCAGGGATAGCTTCCAAATCATAAAAATTAAAAATCTGTTGAGAAGAATGAGCGCGAAATAAAATTATTCTACCATTTTCATCATCAGTTGAAACCAGTAGATATTTTCCATGATTTTGTGGAGAAGGGGAAATATCCATTGGAGTAAATGAAATCCAATCATCACCATTACTATTCATATTATATTTTTTATCGTTAAAATTCGATAAATTAATATAATGAAGATAATTATCTCCACGTACACCAACGACCAAATATTGATTGTCCGGTAAGAAACACATTGATTCAATATTTCCACCAAAAATTATCGAATGGATTTTATTATAACTTGGTAAAGTTGATAACATTTCTTCATTTCCAACCTTGTGAAAAATAATTTTATGATCATAAGATGCAGTCACAATCATTTTTCCATCCATCGAAAATTTTGCTCTGACGACATATTTCGTATGATCTTTAAATGTTTGTACAACATTCATTGCATCAGCATTTATTAATGCACATGATGAGTCCATTGATCCTGTTAACATTAAATTATTATAAATTGGATGAAAATCCAGACAAAGTATTCCACCTTTATGAACATCATTACAAATGTTAAATGTATCTCCTGTGAGCAATGAAGTTAAACGAATAGATTTGTCCGCTGAACCGGTAATTATTGTAGGAATTTCCGAGATTTGGTATTCTCCATTTATAAAATTTCTAATTGAAAGTGTTTGTAAGCGTACACTTAAAATGTTTTTAGTATGGATTTGTGAGAATGATTCGCAAAGATATCGAGGATATTCATTATTTCCCGGTGTAATCAAATCATCATCAATTATCCTATAATAAAATATTTTGATAAGGAGAAATTTTTTTTTTAAAAAAAAAAAAAATTTTATTAGGAAATTTACCTTTCTAACGACATATTTTCAATATTTGATTGCAATTGATTAATTAAATATTCTTGAATGATTGCCGTTAATGGCTTTTTAGTATGTTCATTATCTTGATCGAATAATTCCTCATTTTCAATAATTTCTTGTGCGTCTTTACGAAAAGATTCCAGGGTATTTACATAATTATTGCTCTCCAAAAATTTTAATACTAAAGCATGAGTGAGTGTTGTAGAACTAGTGGATTTTGATGACATTTTTTTTTTTTTTTTTTTTTTTTTTAAGCGAAAGATCCGTAAAAAAAAAATAATATACTATTATTATAAAAGTAATGTTGCTCGTTTTGAGGAAAAAAAATATTTTTTTTTTAATTAAATCAAGAGTAAAACTTGATTGTTAAAAAGTTTATTTATTAAAACATTGTGCAAATCTCAGATTCGGATAATCCGAATTGCATTTATCAATTGTTTGCGTGTAATGCACTTTATGAACCAGATTTTAACTGCGTGTCAATGCGACAAAATTTTCACTCCCCCCCCCCCCCAAAAATACCAAAATACAATATAAAAAACCACATATCCTCCTTTTTTAACAATCATTTCCTTTTTAGAGAATTACAATATACCGATTAATTTTAAATACAATATAGATTAACTTAATTTCTACATATTGTTCAGATTATAGCTAGTAACAAATAAGAGGCGTGGAACATGCGAAAAAAATAATTTCATTCATTATTCAAAGAAATCATGATTTATTCCATGGATTTTCCACCCCTTTCTAAATTATATCACGCAGAACGAGTGATTATTAAGAGGGTTCTATTATGTTTGTGATATTGCTATGATGCTTATAAATATGATTGATGTGCTTGTTTGAGGGGTGACTTATATACAATAAAAAATTTTTTTAAAAAATCGTCAAATATACTGAGTATAATCAATACCGTGTTACAACTGTTATCGTTCTTTCATTCATTTCATCCTTCATTAGTCAAGCCATCTCTCATTAGCCGTAATATATTATATATACACAATTAGTTTCAAGATGATGTTATATAAGCTCGTTGTACTTGGAGATGGTGGTGTTGGCAAAGTAAACTATTCCGATAACTTTTTATTATTTATAGAAAAAAACCAAGTAAATTTACTTTATTAATTATTTTGTTTTTTGTTTTTTTTGACGACTAGACTGCCCTCACAATTCAGGTGTGTTATTTCTTTCAAAGTTATATTTATCTGAAGTTTTTTTTACTAAGCAGAGCACAAATGTATTAACAATAATGTTACTTCATTCATCAGTTATGCCTAAATCATTTTGTTGGTAAGTTTAAATCAAATTTCTAAAGAAATATTACATTTTGAATTGGTCTATCTATTGGAACGTTTATTTCGTTTGATTCCTAATCAAATTTATAATACCGTCTCATGAAAAATTTTCGCTTTTCATCAATAATCACTATATCATTCCCGGTTAATAGAGGTGTGTGTGTGTGTTATTTCGTCACTCAAACGTTCTTGAATTTCTCTCCTACAAATATTCAAATAAATCTTGATTGTTCACCTTTTCCTATGTAATACTAATATAGACATACGACCCTACAATCGAGGATTCATATAGGAAACAAGTAGTCATTGATGATCAACCTTGCGTTCTAGAAGTATTAGATACTGCTGGACAAGGTTTCGTATCTATTTTTTAATTAAAAAAGTCATGACTTGTCTTATGTGCATTATTGGAAAATATTAAATTCCATAAATTATTTTTAATGGTATATGTTTTATCTCCTAATTAAAAAAATTGAAAATCAACAGAGGAATACACCGCTCTTCGAGACCAGTGGATCAGGTAAATTTATTTCATTTTAATGGACGGGACCCGAAAAATCTATTTTTATAAAACGATCTTGTCGAGTTGTCAAGTTCATTAAATGAGCAATCTATTAAACAGTTTATTATTCAATCATTGAAATTTTATGATTCATAAATTTAACATAAACTTATTTCCTTTTTATTATCTAAACCACATAATAGAGACGGAGAAGGTTTCCTTTTAGTCTATTCTATATCTTCACGTTCAACATTTGAGCGAGTAGAACGATTTCGAGATCAGATCACTCGAGTGAAGGACACTGACCAGGTTCCCCTTATGCTTGTTGGAAATAAATGTGATAAAATTACCGAGCGGGAGGTATCGAGAGAAGAAGGAATGAATATGTCAAGAAAACTCAAATGCGAATTTATTGAAAGTTCGGCGAAGACGTGTGTAAACGTTGAAAGAGCGTTTTATACAGTAGTTAGGATGATACGATCAAATAGAGATGGCGGTAAAGAAAGTAAAAAGAAAAACAAAAACAAAAAATGTACAATCCTATAATTTTTACAAAAAAAAATTATATTTTTATTTATATATTTTTTTTTTCCGATTACTTGGCTTTATGTAATAGTAATTCAGTTAAGGTGATGTGCTGTTTTTTATCGTCGATGTTCCGGCAGGATTTTGTAGTTTTTGTTTTTTTTGGGAAAAAAGCAAAAAAAAAAAAGATAAGAAAAAAAAAATAACTTTCGATTCTAGTCACGTTATGAGCACAGTCATTTTTATATGAACAAAAAAGATATATATGTATATATATATATTTTTGTTTACCATGCATTATTTTATTGCAAAACGTCAAAAAAGTTTTGATATACCCTTTTTAAAATTCACGGTCATTTCTCGAAAGAAATTTAATATGTGCAGTAGTTATTCATTTTATTTAAAAATTTTCACCCCCCTTTGTTTTGAAATTTTTTTATTTCGATTTTCGTTATTTGATTATATCTCCCTTTTGTTAAAATGATTGAGGTTCTTTTAATCAAAGATTTGTAATTATTATTATTATTTTTAAAAAAGAAAAAAACAAAAAAAAGAAAGAAAAAGAACAGAAAAAAGAGGAAAAAAAAATACAGAAATATTTGTTTGTTTATAAGGAAAATTAAAAAGAAATTTTTTGTATTTATTTAAAATTTAATCTATTATATCTTTATTTTAATAATTTGATGGTTATCTTAATTTTTTTTTCTCTTTTTTTTTTTTAAAAAAAAAAAAAAAACACTTAAATTTATGTTTATTACAATATTTTAGGTTAGAATATATTAAATTTAAAGAAATATGTTCATGTAAAAATCTATATAATAAAATTTTAATAATATTGTTTTATCATTCATTTTTAAAATTCAATTTTTTTATTAATATAAATCATTAATAATAAAATCAAAATTATAAAAAAAAATATTAAAGTATAAAATTAATAAATAATTCTAAAGTATTACTAATAAATTATATTACAGATTATATCATTTACTATATTTTATAACTTTGATTTTACTAAAAAATTTCTTTTTATATCTTTCTTTAGTATCTTTATAATAAAATTATAGAAATTTGTCACTTTATATTTATTCACTATAAATATATATTTATTTACTAAAATTTATAACTTCTTAGTAAATACAAAAGAAACATATATTACAGATCCTCTATTATCTATTAAAAAATTATGAATACATAAATATCAAAGAATAAGTTGAGAAATATTATAACTCAGTTTACAATTCTCATAAATAATTTAAACATGATTGGCTATAAATAGATCAATAAATCAAATAATCATAAAGTCTTATCTATTAGTCTAAATTATTTGATCTATTTATAAATACAGTCAACTCTCCATAAATACACACTCTATAAATGCATTCTTTTGCTTAGTCTCAAGCTGGAACTTATATGCTAAATGCATATTTTATATATAACTCATTTTGTAAATGCATACTTTGACAAAAAATTTTATAATAGTTACTTATGTATTATATTAATACCATATAAATTTATATATATTTATAAATGTATACCCTCTCTGAATGCATACTTGTGTCTGGTCCTAAAGGTGTGTATTTATAAAAAGTTAACTGTATCTATAAATTACTAAATGATTTAGATCCATTACATAATCATATGATATTTATTATATAATAATTCTTTTTTATAAAATTATTAAATAAAATTATTAAATACAAATTTTTGTAAGCTTTATTAAAGTAAATCTCACTTTTATTTCTTCAAAATTTTCTGATTTCAGTTCTTCAGAACTTTTAGATTCTGATTTTTTGTTCATAATTTTTATTGAAATTTCAAAAAATAAATTACTTTTAATACAATTAAAATAATATGTTTTTTGAATTACAATTTTAAAAATTTATTATTAATTGACAAAATATTTTTAGTTTATGAATTTAATAAATTTTATATTAAACTAATTTTCATTATTTATATTTGAATTATTTATTTTGTTATTATTCTTATTCATTTGAATTAGAATCAAACTCTATTCCTACTTTTTTTAAATATAATTAAATATGTTGACTATATTCAGAATTTTGATTGAATTTTCATTCACAAAAAAGAAAAAAGCATTTAAAACTCATATTGATTAATATATGTTATATAATATACATTACTTATAAATCATTAAAAAATTATATAACTTTAAAATTTTATAAATTGAAAATAAAGCAATAATATATAAATCTAATCCAATAAAATAATAAAAATAATATAAATTAAATATTTTTAATGTTTTATCTTATATGAAATACTATAAAATATTTAAAGTTATTTTTATTCAAAATTCAAGTATTTTTATATGATTTATATAGTAAAAAGAAAAATTTTGGACTATTGAATTTAGGTTAGAATTATAAATTTAATCAAAATTAAGTAAATCTTAGCTAGAATTATAATTATTTTAATATAGAATATAACAGAAAATTTTTTTATATTTATTATATTTAATTAAAATATTTTAAAAATTAAGTTATATAATATAATTAAATAGATTTTAAATTTTTAGACTATTATCAAAAGTTGTGATTTATAGATGATGCTTAATATACAATTATTAAAAATATATTATGATAAAAATTTAATAATTTGTAATTATTAAAATGATAATTTTAATACATTATATATTAAATGCAATAATTTATCAATTGTAGTAAAATTTTGATTTATTTAATAAATATTCTTATAGTTGCAAATATAAAATTGCTAAGCTATCTATTATAATAGAATCTGCTAGGGTTCTGCAATTTGATTTGATCAAATTCAAATCAAAGAATGATTTATTTGATCAAATCCAAATTAATGTTTGATTCAATTCGATCAAATTCAAATCAAGTATTCAAATATTTAATTTGATTCAAATTAATATTAAAGCTTTCTAAAGCTTCAGTAATGCTTTTATTAAGAAAACTATAGTAAAAATCGTCTCTGTAATTTTAAAAATATTTTTTACTAATAAAATAGTTCTGAAGCTATGATGGTAGTTATTACTGAATTTTCTTAGTAAAACTGAAGCTACGATAGTGGTTATTACTAAGTTTTTTTTGTAAAACTGAAACTACAATGTTGTTTTACTAAATTTTTAATAATAAAAATTCACCTGTTACTAAACTTACTTTGTAAAAAGCTATTTTTGAAATTTTTTAGTGTAATTACTAATAATTTTTTAATTAAAACTTTAGAATAACTTTATTTTTAATATATCATTATAAAAATTAAAAAATTTTTTTATATTTAATTTGATTCAATCAAATATTTGAGTTCAATTTGATTTGATTTGATTTGATTTTAAGAAACCCTAGAATCTGCTAGAGTTCTGAAAAAGCTGATCCAACTTTTGAATCAAATGAGTTAAATTAAGTTGAGTTAAATCAAGTTAAAAAAATTTGACTTGTTTGAGTCAAGTTTCAAGTTAAACTTGACTTAATTTAAGATAACTCAAACTTAACTCAAGTCAAAAGTTGAATAACATTTGAGTCTAAAGTCAAGCTGAACTTAAGTAAAAATTTAGCAATTTTTTTAAAAAAATTAAAAAAATTATTCCAATAGAATGATATATATCATTCTAAAGGAACAATAAAAGTTTTATTTTGATAGAATAATAAATCTTCATTCTAAAGGAATAATAAAAAAATTATTCTGATAAAACTAGTATATTATTTTTAAAAATAATAGAAGAATACCTTCATATCAAATTGCCGAGAATTTGATATTACACCCTTTGAGCTGAAAGAATATTTTTACCCTTGAAATTAGATCTACAAAATTGATTTATAAACAATTTACAGTCAATCAAATTAGTGTTACTAAAATCGAACATGTATAAATTAAGTAATGAAATGGAGGCGATCAGTAGAAAAGGAGGAAATTCAAATTTTGGTCAAAATTTATATTATTAGACTACTTGGCTGATCTCGGTCATATGCACAAATTTAGCTTAATAATTAAAATTAACAAAAATTTTGGATTTCCTCCTTTTCTACTGACTGCTTTCCAAATGATTAGCATAAATTGATTACCTAAAATAATAGTAAAATTGATTTATAAAATAGATCTATAATGTCATAGTTTATTTAATTCATTTTATCCAATTTATTCATTTATTTTATTAATTTTATTATATTCATTTTATCTATTTTATTTATTATTTTATTTTTTTATATTTTCTTTATTTAAATTATTATAATAATATATAGGATAGTTTTTATATAAATAAAAGCAGTTTAGAATTAAGTGGCAATAGGTTTTTCATAAGTTTCTTTAAGTTTATTATAAATCTTTTAATAAATGAATAGTTTAGTACAAACATGTTGATAGAAGCAGTGCTATAAATTTATTTGTTAATCATTTATCCTATACATATTTGTTGTATTTCTATTACACTTATAAATCTTTAAATATTTCTTATTTTCTTTACAAAGGAAACCTTCTGCACTCATATGTATATTACTTATTCAAGTTGAATGATTCAAAGAACTGGCATAATAATATGTTGTCAACGTCTGAAATCAATCTTACTGCGCCGATCATTGATGACCTATGGAATGACGACGTAATAAGTACTGTGCCAAATGATCTACAGAATCCCTG